ATGGAAGATGTCTTTTGTCTGTACTGTTCCTCTGCCTTTCTAATAAATAAAAACATTTTTTTCTAAATAATAATAGTAATAATAAAAAGGAAATCCAGCTTAGAGATAGAAGTCATATGCCATGGGGTACAGTGCTTCACCTGAGGGCAATGGACTGGGTCTAATACTCTACTATACTCAACAAAGACAAAGCAAGGCAACATTACAACACACTGTCTCTCTCACTCAAACTTCCAAAGAGCTGGAATCATTACACCTATCTTTTACATTATGCACCAGACAAAAGTATTTGCAAAATAGAACTCTTGTTGTAACATCACCATTGGCTAATCACCATTTCCTTTGAGAAAGCAGTTTTAAGTTAAAATAGCCCACTATCAAATAACAATTCATCTTAAAGTAAACAGCCAAAAAGGACATTTTAAAAACATTTTTAGCAGTCAAATCTTGTCTTTAATTGAAGGTCCAGGGAATTGAATGTCTTGCTTCTGTTTCAGAATCTAATATAGTCTCAGAAAAGCAAGGTTGAAAACCAAGTCATGTCAAAAACATTTTCAGAGATTTTCACAGATCTCCAGGTTATAAGAAAAACAGCCTGACACTTAACAGAAAACAGCCAGTACAAGTAGTGGCAACTCCACACAAATTAAAATACTACTTTCTTCTCGTTTTTGTGGTGATCACTTTGTTTCACAGGGTGGTGAAATATTTCTGTAGCTAAAATGAAAACCCATAAAAAATACTGAAAGGCACAGTATGTCTTAAATGAGTTTTCTTGGTTTCATAAGCTTTTCTTATTTCTCTTTCACAGAGGTCTGCAAAATTAAAATTAGCATTTGAAAGTATTCAAAAATTGTTTAAATCTTTGTTTAGTTGCTCTACAGGTGCAGCTCTGAATGAAATACATTTACCATCTGCTATGTCATAATTTTGACACATTTATAATTATACTAACAGGGAGGTAAACTATCTTCGACTTCACAAACCAACAGTAACTTCTTTCAGAGAGAAAAATTCTGAAACTTAAAATCCATTTCCATAAAAAAATCTGAAGTGAGGTATTCCTCTATTTTATAGTTATATTAAACTATTTACGAAAAGCTGTTTATATTACTTCCTGGTGGCATTAGAAAGGAATATAATAAGAGTCATTTTCTCTACTCTCTGCTTAAGACCATAGTAGGTTCTAAGGAATTAAGCACATATTGAGTGTTCTATAAATACCTGCTGACTAAAAACATAATGGAAGACTTCATATAGATAAGGTGGAATGAGATGAGCATTAAAACACGAGCTGGAGGCAGATGTTTGCCATGGTGGGACCATCTGGTACATTCACACCCCATTATCAAAGTACCTGGGTTTGAGTCCTGGCTCTGCTCCATATTCTAACTTCCTTCTAATGTGTACTGGATGAGACAGACAGCTCAAGGAGGTGGATCCCTGCCACCCACATAGGAGGCCCAGGTCGAGTTCCTGGCTCCCGAATTCAGCCTGGTTCAGTCTCAGATACAGAGGCATGAGGAGTGAACCAGCAGATAGGATTTTTTTTTCTTTTTCTCTTTGTGCCTTGCAAATAAAACAAATTAAAAAGGAAAAAAAAAAAAAAAGGAATTACAGTTAAATAGACAAATACCAAGAGAAAAGGCATTCTAGCCAGCATTTTATTTAATGACACACAGAAAGATCCCATCAATCAGCTAACTTCCCAAATGCCTGAGATAGCAAAGGACTGTGCCAGTAAGAATCTAGAAGCCAGGAACTCAATCTGAGTCTGCCACATGGTTGGCAGAGACTCAAATACTTGAGCCATCACCTGCTGTTTACCAGGGTGCACATTAGCTGAAGTTGGAATCAGGAGCCGGTATTTGGATACAAGACGCTGGTGTTCCAGGAACATTTTTTTTTTTTAAAGATTTTATTTATTTATTTGAGAGGTAGAGTTACAGACAGTGAGAAGGAGAAAGGTCTTCCTTCCATTGGTTTACTCCCCAAATGGCCACAACAGCCAGCTGCAACAGCCAGAGCTGCGCCAATCCGAAGCCAGGAGCCAGGTGCTTCTTCCCTATCTCCCACATGGGTGCAGGGGCCCAGGGTCTTGGGCCATCTTCTACTGCTTTCCCAGGCCACAGGATTGGAAGAGGAGCAGCCAGGATTAGAAACGGCACCCATATGGGATACCGTCGCTGCCAGTGGAGGATTAACCTACTGTGCCACGGTGCCGGCCCCTCCAAGGTTAACATCTTAATCGCTAGGCAAAATGCCTGCCCTAGAATATGTGATATTTTGAGTGATACTTTGTCAGTAATGAATGAACCAGCTTTCAATGGCTTGGTAAGCACTGTTTTATTAAAGAGTAAGATAATAAATTTCTTGGGCTTGTGGGCCACATAGTTTCTGTAACAACAACTTGACTCTGTTACTGTGGCATGACAGTATCCAAGACAACATATCAATGCATTAAGTGTGGCTGAATTCCCGCAAATCTTCATAAAAACAGGTGGTGAGCCCACATTCACAGTTTGCTATCCATGTCCTGGAGTCTCACTGAGACTTCAGTAATTCTTTTCATCAAGACAGTTTTACTTCCTTTCAAACACTTTCACATGAACTGCCTTAGCGTTTCGTTGCAGCCTCTAGAGACACCTCCTGTTACACAGGTTAAGAAACTGAAGCTCAACAGGACTGTGGGACTTGACCTAAGTACTAGTAAGCAGAGCTGAGAATTAAAAAACAGGCCTTCATTCTTTTCATTAACTGTTTATCTGAAACATTTCCACCCGTTTTAGAATCCTCTGCTAAGCCTCTGGTTCTTTGCGGCAGACTCACCAAATCCAAGACTGATTTCAAGAGCATCAACTTTTCTTTTTCCCCTATACATAATTTATTTAAACTCTGGAGTCAAATTATTCTCAAATGTTTTCCCTCTACATGAATCCTTTTCTGTTTAGACTCTCCTTTTATTCATGTCACCTAAAATACATGTCTTCAAATAGCAAGCAAAAAAAAAAAAAAAAAAAAATGGATGGGTACATTCTCAAGGAGTTAAAAGTTTTTTAATAACTTAACAATAATTTGTGTACTCAATAATATAAATGGCCAAGTGGCTTCCATCTACTGAGAAATACTGGACATACAAAAAAGAAACTAGGACCAACTCCATATAACTTACAGTAAACCAAAGAAATTTAAAACCAAAAAAAAAGAAATGAGATGATGTAATTTATAATATAGGTTGTAATGAATTAAGTTCTTTATATGCTACTGCAGTTACAATAAAGCCTTGAGTTTTACATAATGAAAGTTAATAAATACTAAATAACTATAAACATCTCCTTAACATAATAATATAGTTCAAAAATTAAAACTAGATCACATTTGTAAAAAATTGTGTTTTAGAAGGCTGGGCATTTTCTATTTTATTATAGTCATTGAAATAACAGAACTCAATTTGCTGTTACTTTCCAGCAAAAAATAACTATCAAATATAGGTAAAACATAGGATGTTCTAGTTTTGCACGGCAATGTGGGAATGGAAAAGTGACGATGCAGAATGAAACTGAAATATGGTCTTAACTGATGGGGAAAATTATGATTGTATTATGATTCTTACAAAAAAACTTGCCAAATTACTATTTGGTTATAAATGTATAGAGGAAAATAAAAAATAAAATAATACTTAGTACCCTGAAATGTGTTTTATTTCTTTTTAATAAACCCAACTATCACCCAAGAGTGCTTGCTTTCTCAATGTATAACTTACAGGCAAATTATACATCTTTTGTATGCCTTGGTGAACTGAAATAATTCTGTTTTAATCAATTCCCTACATTTTATTATTTGTGCTTTCAATGTCATGAGATATTTCTGAGACTTCCTTTAACATGAAGATCTTTTTATAGCATTAACTTCCTCTGAGACATCTGTATCCTTTTTGTCACAGCTATTTTCTTTAGTTATGTCAATAAGTTCACCTTCAGTAAGCTGCACTGGCTGCATTTCTAGTCTCTTGAAAGGCAGCCATGCCAACATTCCCTAAGTCAGCTATTTCTCCACTTCCTTTTATCCAAATTTCATTTCCCACATTATCACTGTTTTGTTTTTTACTGTATAGCCATCTATCCATCCTTCTTTCTTGGTCAATCCTCTTTTTCAATGACCCATTTTTTAAAAATGATACACGGGTTTATTGCAGAAGACACAGATCAACACAACTACATGCTTCGAGGCATGGGTAAAATGAGGAACAGATGTACCATAACCAAACACCAGCAGACACTGAATGAATGACATGATTTGTCACTGATGACAGGCACATTTGTTGTTATGTGATGATTTCTACAGTGAAATGCTAGCAAATTTGTGTTTTATCTAATTATTTACAGTTAACATGCCATAATAACTGAAATGTGAACCACATACCGGGAAATGGGTGTTACTTACCTAAAAACACAGTAACAAAACCTCATGCATAATGGGATGATCAAGTGAGGACTGCCTGTGCATTAAACAACTGTCTGAAGCATTATAAGGCAATCAATGCAAAAAAGATTAAGGACTCAAGAACTTCAAAATCTGGGAAACACAGAGATGAGCTCCTTGTTTCCCCTCAGCTGTCTCCTTGGGCTATTTTCTAAATCACAGAAAAAAAGAAAATCTAAAGCCCAAGCAAGTCTACTATTCTAAGAAAGCAGAGGTTGGAACTGTCCTGCTCCATGCCCAGGGTTTTCTGTTGTGATCCTAGAGGGGACACACGTGAAAAAGGGCCCCAGCCTAGCAGGAACAGTATTTTCTTCAAAAGCTAAACAGAGTTTACTCTATCATGTGTTATGGGTAGGCAATCAGTAAAATGCTAGAGAATCCATGAACAGAGTAATGTTGGTCTAAGGGAAGGGATGACAGAAACTCACACTACCAGTTCTACAGCGTGTCAATCACACAGTACGGCTGAGTTATGTTTCCTAAAATGGTATTCTGAAATCAAACACTGCTATAGTTACCATTTTGTAATCCCATCCACAGCTGCTTGTGATCTTTTTTCTGCATTTCATTAATTACTTGACTTTTATGCTTTAAAGCATCAGCTTCTTTCATACAAGACATAAAATGAGCTTCAATTGCATCCTTAGATGGACAGTGCAGAAGGTCCTTTTCTGGAAAATTCTATCAAAGAAAAAAACACATATAAAACAGGTAGACACATTGTAAAATTAGCTTCTTAAAGAAGAACTTTCATCACCAATTTTCCAATATTTACAACCAATCATCTATAACCACTGCAATAAGTCTAAATGCTTTTTAACTTGAAATAGCCTATTTGCCAAATTTTGGACTTTTCTCAAATAATCCTCATATGTGTTTATAACACAGAATAAGACAGTAAAATAAAATAATTTAAAAATATATGAGGGGTCTTCAAAAAGTTCATAGAAAATCTGTATTATAGAAACATATGCATGGATTTCAAGAAGTTTTTATACTAAAATAAACTTGTCTTTTAATTTCACTTTTCCACAAACTCTGTGAAGTACCCTCGATGCTTCTGAACTGCCCATATTATGAACTGGCAAAGATATGGAATGCAACCGGCAGACACTGCTGGTGGGAACATAAAGTTATGACCACTTTGGAAAACACACTGATAGTTTCTTTTAAAGAGTAAACATGCACCTGCCACCTGACCCAGACATTTTACAACTAGGCATTTGGCTAAAAGAAATGATAGCCTTTGTCCATGTAAAGACTTGCACACAAATGTTGACAACAGCTTTATTTTTAACAGTCAAAAACAAGAAACAACATACATATGACATAAGTTGTGGTATAAACTTATTAAAGTGTATACTTTGAATATGAGTAGTGTACTCTAAGTCGGTAAGAACTCTTTTAGCTGTAGAAAGCAGCTTTTAACCTCATCTCCCAACTCTACAGGAGCTTTTCTTATTAACCAAAAACAAATCCTGGACTCTCCAAGAAATGCTACACCATCGGCTCCAGGCTTCAGTTGCTTCTATTTTTTGATTCTGGGGGATTCATCCTTAATTTCTAAGCCTTTAAAAGACTGTTCGTTTGGGTTAAGTTTTGTTATTCCTTATAATTTATAATGTTTATGAAAAAAAATTCAGGGGGCTAAGCCTTTCCAAAAATTACTAGTACATAGATATAGTTGCTCAATCTGTTATAATGTACATCTGAACTTACCTATAACATGTGGTTAGTGGACAGTCTTTTTTCCCTATACCAATGTTAATGAGAATAGATGCAAAACTCAAAAACAAAATCACTGGTGAGGGGGCCAGAGCCGTGGCACAGTGGGTTAATCCTCCACCTGAGGCACCGGCATCCCATATGGGTGCTGGTTCTAGTCCCAGCTGTTTCACTTCCAGTCCAGCTATCTGCTGTGGCCTGGGAAAGCAGTGGAAGATGGCCCAAATCCTTGGGCCCCTGCACCCACGTGGGAGACCGGGAAGAAGCACCTGGCTCCTGGCTTCAGACTGGCACAGTTCCAGCCGTTGTGGCCATCTGGGGAATGAACCAGTGGAAGGAAGACCTTTCTCTCTGTCTCTCCTTCTCACTGTCGACAGCTCTCTCAAATAAAGTAAAATAGAAATCTTTAAAAAAATTAATTAAAAAATCAATGGTGAGGTGGAAAAGCAGCTTTGAAAGTCAAACAGCTAAATTTACATCCTGTACCTTCTCAGAATCTTTTAGCAGTTGAGCCAATAATGATTGGACCAATAAGTAATAAATGAGATAACTAATGCACTTTCCACAGGGGGGAAAAAAAAAAACACAAGAGCTAACATTTATTGAACACTTTGGATTTGACAATGTACTAAGGCTTTTTATACTTATTATCTAACTGACTTCTCACAAGAATACTCAATATAAAATTACTGGGTCTGGTGCTGTGGCGTAGCAGGTAAAGCTGCCACCTACAGTGCCAGCATCCCATATGGGCACAGGTTGAAGACCCGGCTGCTCCACTTCCGATCCAGCTCTCTGTTGTGGCCTGGGAAAGCAGTAGAAGACGGCCCAGGTTCTTGGGCCCCTGCACCCACGTGGGAGATCCAGAGGAAGCCCCTGGCTCCTGGCTTCAGATCGGCACAGCTCTGGCTGTTGCGGCCAATTGGGGAGTGAACGAGTGGATGAAAGATCTCTCTCTCTCTCTCTCTCTGCCTCTCCTCTCTCTGCGTAACTCTGACTTTCAAATAAATAAATAAATAAATCGTTTTAAAAAAAGATAGAATTATTACAGCTATTTCACAAAAGAAAAGTACAACTCAGAGAATGACAACAGTCCAAAGAGTTACTGACTTTGCAAGTAGTAGAGCTAGGGTATAAGACTAGTTTGACATTAAGACTCCTAACTTTTAACCACTAAATAATATCACTTACTCCAGGTGACCCAAATATTAGGAATAATGACTATATTCACAGTTACTCTCTACACAGGTCCTTTAATAAAAACAGTTTAAAAAATAATGGTGAAGACAGCATTTAGTTATAGTCTAATCAGGTTACTGTATTCATAAACATCATAGAGCTCTGATACAGAGAATCTTAAGAAAATAGAAGGGGCCAATGTTGTGGCATAGCAGGTTAAGCCGACACCTGTGATGCCAGCAGCCCATATGGGTACCAGTTCAAGTCTCGGTTGCTCCACTTCTGATCCAGCTCCCTGCTAATATGCCTGGGAAAGCAGCCTAAGATGACCCAAGTCCATTGGCCCCTGCGCCCACATTCAAGACTCAGATGAAACGCTTAGCTTTGGCTGGCCCAGCCCCAGCTAATATGGCCATCTGGGGAGTGAACCAGAGGATGAACGCTATTTCTGTCTCTCTGTAACTCTTTCAAATAAATAAATAAATCTTTTTAAAAAATGAAAAGTTACTTTTATTTTTTAGATTTAATTGAAAGGCAGAGCAACAGAGGGATGGCAAACTTCCATTTCCAAGTGGCCAAAAAGCCAGGTCTGAGTCAAGAACCAGGAACTAAGTCCTAGTCTCCCACATGAGCCATCCTCTGCTGCTTTCCCAGGCATATTAGCAGGGGTCTGGATTGAAGGCAGAGCAGCAGAGACTTGAACCACAACTGTAATATGGGATGAGGCCTGTCAAGCAGCAGCTTAAGCTGCTCAACCACAATACCACTCCTCCAAATGTAAGTTTTTAAAAAATAATCAGGAACTAATCATGAGTGACAGTTTTAATCAGTCTACCCTGCTCATGCCTCCTCCTGTTCAAAACAAACTAATCCCACAGCTTCTGCTGAGTAGCCACCGAGCCCCTACACATCCCTAAGAACTGAGCTGCATGTTTTCAAACATACACACATGAAGACTTACAATGAAAAACTATAAAATTTCATAAAATATGAAAAGGCAAAAGGAGCATTTCAGAAGCAGAAAGGCAGAACCAAAAGACGAGAGACATGAACTGAAGGGAGGGAAAGTACTAGCTTAATGAAATTTCCAAGCAACTGGGAGTGAGTGTTTGACAGAGCAGTTAAGACAGTTCTCCCAAGAGAGCATGTGGATTTGAGTGTCACCTCTGGATTCCAACTTCCCACTAATGCACACCCTGGGGAGCAGCAGGTGATGACGACTCGAGTACTCAGGTCCCTGCTGCCCATGTAGGGAACCCAGATTGAGTTCCAGGATTCTGGCTTTGGCGTGCTCAGCAAAGGGTTCTGCAGACATTTGGGGGATGGACCAGAGGGCAGAAGACCTATCTATGTCTGTCTCTATCTCTACTTTCCATACGAATTAAAAAACATCGTCATTATCATAATAAATTTCCGATCAGCTATACTGGCTTTACTTATCCTACATTGAGATTTGTTTTTGGCTTCCTGACCTGGACAAAGAATTACATGTACATATTACATACACATCAATTCTATTATATTCAAATGGATTAACATTATGAAAGTCACTTCTAGTTATTTTTTCATTTTTCAAAAATTTTTTAATTTTTAGTTTTTAACAAATTCAGTGTGATTTGTAGATGTGTTTCTAAGAACATAATGATATTCCCTTTCTCCTCCCCCACTACCTACTCCCCCGCTCCCTTTCTTTCCTTCTCTGTAGTTTTTAGATAACATATTTTAAATTTATATTACAGTAAAAAGGATTAATACTACATCAAATAAGAAGTTTAATAGGTTACTTCTACTTAAATTCAATGTTTTCCATTTCAGGTCTATAAATCAACCCCTAAAACATAAAAAAGTTCATCAAATTTAAAAAAATCCTAACATACTCTAAATATTGCACACAATTTTCAATAATTTCTAGAAATTTTTAAATTTAGTAAACAATGTATAAATCTAAAATGGCTCTTCAATTTCAAAACAGCCTGATATATATGATAAATGTTCACATATGATTTTCATTTATCAATAAAGCCTAAAACGGCTTTTCAGATGCTGTACAATTTCACATGATTATACATTTTTGTTACTAATGAGTAGCTGAAAATATGAATGTTCATATTCCAAAGAAAATATATAAAAGTTGCAATTTTTCACCTATTTAAGTACTATTCATATTTCTTAAAACTGTTTACAAGCTGAAAATGAAAGAGGTAGTTAAGATCACTCAAAACAGTGTTTTGAGAAGTCTGAAGAAAACATCATTTTGGTGTACTTTTGACAGTGTCTATACTAATCTCAACAGATCTTGTAACCAGTAAGTGCTAAAAAGTCTTACTTTTTCCACTTCCATTGTTTTGCAGGTTTCTAAGCTTAACAAACCCTGACTTCATTAACTGATAGCTGTCAATTACAAATGAATAGTCTTCATGGCAAAAAAAGGGTCTACCAAAACAGCAGATATTTACATATACTCACCTTTCAACAGAGAATGCCTCCTGGGGCCAGCATTGTGGTGTGGAGGGTAAACCTGCCACCTACAATGCTGGCATCCCACATGAAAGCCAGTTTGAGTCCTGGCTGCTCCACTTCCCATCCAGCTCCCTGCTAATGCTCCTGGGAAAGCAGCAAAGGGTGGCCCAAGTGCTTGGGTTCCTATGCCCACATGGAAGACCTGAAGGAGACTCCTGGCACCTGGCTTCAGCCTACCTCCAGGTCTGGTCGTTGTAGCCATCCTGGGAGTGAACCAGCAGATGGAAGACCTCACTCTTTGAAACAAAATAAATCTC